GGGAGCAGCTAAAGCGAATCACAAAACTGGCTATGACAGCTCGGGGCACCAATGGCTATACTGTATTTAGGCCCTTAGATTATTTGCATACAGTGCAAAGTGCGAAGCTCGACGTCGGGTCGCACTCGATTGGTGCTACCAACGCGACCGAACTGAAAAGATGTTCCCTTGGGCACGCTCTCACATTTGAACCCGACGCGCCATGGGTCATCGGCTGGAAATTGTGAGCTTAACCTATGGGCGAGACATCTAAGCGGGGCCTGATGGAAAGACCCAACGCGCTGAGCCATAGGCCCTATGGGTGGGAACCAACGAACGGCCTCCTACGGGCGAGACAATACAATGGTGACGACATCGGGAGAAGCATTCATTGCTGTGCCCTTTAGGCGGAGATTTATTTGCAAAGCCGCAGAAGTGGTAACCTACAAGGGCGGCCGCATGGGCGAAACCCTATGGGCGAGACCCGAATGGCGAGACCTTACAACTGGACCGCCCGAAACCAGGAACAACCGAGCGGACGAACACGATTCGATCGTTTTGCGGATGTGGATGGGGTCCACGATATTGAAATCCAATCAGCTGCAATCGAATACAGCTGGTTACCAACAAGTTGCAACCCGATCGGTTGCAATACAATCGTTTACATTACACTCAGTTGCCAGTGGTGGCAATCGATTGCGGCGCAATCGTTGCCACATAGATTTGTATTACCTAGCTTGCGCCACGCAGATTGCACCACATAAAATCCACAATATAGCTTGCAACACATAGATCGCACCACACATATGAGTGCGTTAGCTCCAACCGCATACATTGCACCACATAGCTGGCGCCACATAGCTAACACATCAGATATTGCAACTTGCAAGAAAACTAGCCTGACGAAGGACCCAACCATATGCAGTTGCGAGTACCGCATTGTGGGCACCGCTTTCGGTGGAGCTCGCTATGGGGTCACGAACCGTGTGAGGGGAGTGCCGACATGGGCATGCGGTGGGCGGGGATGAGCATGCGAACGTGGTCAGTGGGGCCTTGATTGGAGCTCCCTATGGGGCTACGAAGCGTGTCAACGGTGTGTCGACATGGGTGGCGCGGACGCATGCGAACCCTGCCACTTGCGCCTTTGGTGGAACTCCCGATGGGCACACCCTCACACGTTTCGTGGCCCCATAAGGAGCTCCACCGAAGGCTCCAGTGCCAGGGCCCGCATGCTTCCCCACCGCCCATTTCGGCACACCCCTCACACGTTTCGTGGCCCCACACGGGGCTCCACCGAAGGCCCCAGTGCCAGGGCCCACGTGCCTTCCCACCACACATTTCGGCACACCCCTCACACGTTTCGTGGCCTCATAGGGAATCCCACCGAAGGCCCCAGTGCCAGGGCCCGCATGCCCCCCAACCACCCATTTCGGCACACCCCTCACACGTTTCGTGGCCCCATAGGGGGCTCCACCGAAGGCCGCAGTGCCAGGGCCCGCATGCGTCCCCACCACCCATTTCGGCACACCCCTCACACGTTTCGTGGCCCCATTGGGAGTTCCACCGAAAGCCCCAGTGGCAGGGCATGCTTCCCCACCACCCATTTCGGCACACACCTCACACGTTTCGTGGCCCCAAAAGGGGCCCCACCGACGGCGCCAGTGCCAGGGTCAGCATGCCTCCCCACCACCCATTTCGGCTCACACCTCACACGCTTCGTGGCCTCATAGAGAGTTCCACCGACGGGCCCAATGCCAGGGCCCGCATGCATCCCCACCACCCATTGCGGCACACCCCTCACACGTTTCGTGGCCCCATATGGGGCTCCACCGAAGGCCCCAGTGGCAGGGCCCGCATGTCTCCCCACCACACATTTCGGCCTGGCACACCCCCCACACGTTTCGTGGCCCCATAAGGAGCTCCATCGAAGGCCCCATTGCCAGGGCCAGCATGCTTCCCCACCACTCATTTCGGCACACCCCTCACACGCTTCGTGGCCCCATTGGGGGTTCCACCGAAGGCCCCAGTGCCAGGGCCCGCATTCCTCCCCACTACACATTTCGGCACACCCCTCAAACGTTTCGTACCTCATAGGGAGCTCCACCGAAGGCCCCAGCGCCAGGGCCCGCATGCCTCCCCACCACCCATTTCGGCACACCCACCACGCGCTTCGTGGCCACATGGGGAGCTCCACCGAAGGTCTAAGTGCCAGGGCCCGCATGCCTCCCCACCACACATTTCGGCACACCCCTCACGTTTCGTGGCCCCATAGGGAGCTCCACCGAAGGCCCCAGTGCCAGGGCCCGCATGCCTCACCACCACCCATTTCGGCACACCCCTCATACGTTTCGTGGCCCCATAGGGCGCTCCACCGAAGGCCCCAGTGGCAGGGGCCCGCATTCCCCCCCACCACCCATTTCGGCACACCCCTCACACGTTTCGTGGCCCCATAGGGAGCTCCACCGAAGGCCCCAATGCCAGGGCCCGCATGCCTCCCCACCATACATGTCGGCACACCCCTCGCACGTTTCGTGGCCACATAGGGAGCTCCACCGAGGGCCCCAGTGCCAGGACCCGCATGTCCCACCACACAGATTTCGGCACACACCTCACACGCTTCGTGGACCCATTGGGAGTTCCACGAAGGCCCCAGTGGCTACGTTCGCATGCCTCTCACACACCCACTGATTTCGGCACACCCCTTACACGTTTCATGGCACCATATGGAGCTCCACCGAAAGCCCCAGTGGTTGCGTTCGCATGCTGCCCCCGCCAATTTCGGCACACCCGTCACACGGTTCGTGGCCGAAATGGGTGGTGGGGAGGCATGCGGGCCTTGGCATTGGGGCATTCGGTGGGGCTTCCTATGAGGCCACGAAACGTATGAGGGGTGTGCCGAAATGGGTGGTGGGGAGGCATGCGGGCCCTGCCACTGGGGCATTCGGTGGAGCTCCCTATGGGGCCACGGCACGTGTGAGGGGTGTGCCGAAACTAATGATGCTTACGCTGAGCTTTCCCACGTTGGTGCCATGTATGGCCGTATAATATGGACCCATGAGAGCTCTCATATCTTAGCCAGCGTGGGCACCGCACATTGTTTCCCAACCATCCTGTGGTGTTGGGTCCTCGTTGTGAAGAGACAGCGCCCCGCGTCCTCTCCTCTCCTCTCCTCCTCCCCCTCCTCCCTCTTCCCATCATCATCGTCATCATCACCCTGACCATCGGCAGCATCATCAGCCTCATCATCATCATCGTCGTCGTCGTCGTCATCGTCACCGTCAACATCACCATCGTCACCATCATCACCATCGCCAGTAGGACCACCCTGGCTCATCCCCTATTCCATTCCTCCTCGCCCCTCCTCCCTCGTCATCCTCTCCTCCCTCCACCGCCATTCCTTCTCCTCCCCCTTCGTCGCCATCCCGTTTCCCGCCCCCCTGCCCCTCCCCGCATCGCCCGTCCGCACACCTTCTTTGATTAAACATAGTGATTGTGTGATGGTGTGTGCCTGCTGTCCTGGGCCCACGTGGTCGAGGCCGCCCCAAATGTCGTCGTCGGCCTCCATCGCGTCGCCGCCGTCGTCGCCGTCGGCCTCGGCTGGGCCGCCCTCGTCGGTCTCGTCGCCGTCCTCGATGGCGCCGAGGTCGGCGGCGTCCATGTCGGCGCCGCCGTCGTGGTCCATGGGCCTGCGGTTGTGGGGGTCCCAGAAGAGATACTCTGTGTCATTCAAAGGCACAACCGACACATCGCCTCCACGATAATCTGTTACAGCCCTGGAGTGCCCTAGTATGTAGTAGAACTGCACGTGCCACCGAAACGTCTGGTCGATGCGCTTGAAAAACTTGTAATCAGTGAGAGGCCGCACGTGGCTCGCCTATGACACGAACAGACCGACACCCACATTTACGCCCCCGTGGAACTTTCGAGGACCCCAGGGCCCCAGGCACCCACAAGAGAAATCCTGCATTTGAAAATCGTGCGGCGTGGCACGCCGTTTAAACGATATCGAACAATAGTATATTTGCATCGCATGGGGGCGAAATGTTTGGGTTGTCAGTCCATCGAATCGCCTGGAGCTGCACTTCACCAGGCTCGCAAGGACCCTCGACGTGGCCCTCACGACGAGGACCCAGCGGATGAAAGCACGAATGGTACGGCGTGAAAGTGTGCGAGCCGATGTGGTGCCATTCCCAGATATCGACCGCATCTGCAGACCGACCGTCGGCAAGTCGCTCAGCCGCTTCCCACGGGTTGGCAGCTTGTGGCAGGTAGCCGTGAAGTTTGCAGACGATCCGTTTATCAACCAAGGCTTCTCGGTACACCGCCTTCGGCTGGAACATGTTCTTCATCTCTCTCAGGAACTTGTTGCGCATGGTATACAACTTGCAGCCGTGCTCTGAACATAGGCAAACGCCTGCTGCAAAACACGTAGGTTTCTTTGTACTGCTTTTATTATCCTCTACGATCCGAGGGCACGTATCATGCATGATTGGTTGATGTTTCCGTTTCCAATCCTCGAATATGTTCGAAGCGAGGTTGTTGCATCCAGGATGGCTTGCAGCCCATGCAAGTAGCTTCTCAGTCTTCGAATGGTCGGGGTCGAAGCGGACGACGTGCTGCATGCGGTCTGGCAAGCAGATGATGTCGTCGCAGACCTTCGCCAGCTCGGGAACATCACCGAGTAGGCCTGCGACGATCGCTTGGCCTGGTCCTGCGTGCCACCGCCTCATGTACTGGACGTCCTCCGCCTCCGTTCTCTTCTCGATTGTTCTGGCGCACCGCTTGACCAACTTCGTGGAAGCGAAAGCCGAGTCGATAGTGTTGCTCCCAGCAGATGCACTTGCAATAGCGCGTTGAGCGATTGTGTCCAAAACGGCTAAGTCAGAAGAAGATTGGAAGCACCCATTGTCCTCGATACGCTTCAACACCTCCTCCCGACGACGTCGGGACGCATCTTGTTGGACCTGTCGGCTCTTGGGGCCGAAGTTCGATCCGCGTTGATTCCCACCAGATCTCGAGACCTCGGTCGCAGCCTTGCCGATCTCCACCAAATTCTGGAACGCCTCCCCGCCGAGGGCATGGTATCTAGCAGATAACTCCGACGTGTCAGCCAAGCCCGTACCTCCAATAGACTCTTGCCTCACAAATGCCCTCCAAGGGCCTCCGCCCCTGGTCGTCCGACCCGCGTCCGCTTCAACTGGCGCGCCATCTGCGGGTGCGTCGTCCTCGGTGCCAGTGGAGCAGGGGTCATCCTTGAATATCTGCGTCGAGCTCCGCCGCCTCCTCACATTGCCGACTACGTGCTGGGCGCTGAGGGCCTCGATGTCTACGCCATGGGTTTGGGTCGACTGCACCTCCACCCTCCTGCGAATTGTGGCGTGCCCAGCCTCGATTGTGGAAATGCACACCTCTGCGAGCCGAAGCAATAGGATAATCCGAGCCCTTGCGCGAGGGCCGTCTAAGGAGGCCCCTTCAGCACGATGGTGGTCAACGAAAGCTTCCACGAAAGGGCCCCACAAACACCGAGGGCACTCATTCAACTTTGTCTCCGCCTCTCCCGACACCATCCAGTGGAAGAACAACATGGGGTGGGATTCGTGTTGGCCAGCTAACTGCTCCTGCAACCAACATCTGCCCGAAGAGATTAAGCGAAATGCCAAGCTCCGAGGTGATAACTCTTGATGCAGAACAGGCAAGAGTATCTGGAAGATTGGGGCTGCAAACAGCAGCACATCGGTTTGCTCGAAGAACTTGCTGTCCAACGTTCCACTCGCAGCGTTGGTCACGCGGAACTCCCTGGTAAGCCACCCCGCAGCTGGAGCATGGTGTTCAGTTGCGCGCGCCTCTGCCACCTGTTGCTTTTTCTCCCACTCCTGGCCCGCGAAGTAAAGCTGGTTACTCAGATACTGCCTCATGGGTTCCATGGCAACTCTGCCCAGTATGAGCTGCGGCAGCGGCGATGTGGCCAACCACTCCGCAGCGTGATTACGGTGTTTCTCATTGTCTTGGGCAGATGGCGGACCTGACGATTGACCAACTTCTTGGCCCTGCCCATCGGCGCCTGCACCATCATCGGCACCGTCTCCTTGGCCACCTGCGGCAGCACCCTCTTGGACATCGGGCGGCATGGCATGCGCGTCGGGTGGTGCAGGTAGTGCCAGGAACTCCAGATGGCGCGCTCCAGTTGGACCGCGGACATGGCGACACTTCTTGCCTGAAACCTTTTCAGCGAACAATGGGTAGGTAGCCGAAGCGAGCCCGTGGCATGCTTCGAGCAATGCAATCTCGCTGAGTGCTCGGTCGCCCTTGGTCCACCGATGCTGGGGGTACACCGTGTACTCGGCAGCAGCCGTAGCAGATATCAACCCAGAGCTCAGGACCTCTGCAATGTGATCCTTATCGACAATGCTGGCTTCTGGGACCCAGATTTCAACCTGATTCATTTCCTCCCAGTTCCCATTTGGAAGGCAATGCAGCGCTAGTAGTTTCTCCAGTTGCCGAGAAGCACCAATTAGACACAAGCCGAGGATCGCCTTCCTCCTGTACTGGTATCGAAGTGGAGGCACACCGTACTTGACCTCCAGGCGTTTCCGAATAGTCTCTTTCAAGCACGACCGCCAAATTGTCAAGTTTGTACCAACATTTATTGACAATGCAAAGTGTATCTGGCCTGAGATAGTGCTTTGAACCAAGCGCATGGTTTTTTGAAAAGACACCTGCCATCTTGTGTACCTCGCAGAAGATGTGCAATCGGATCCACATGCAATCGTCCTGTCGATCTTTCAAAATTGACCGCTCGCTCCTATCATTGGCCCCGTGACGGTCGCAACAGGCAAGCCTCACCCTCATTGTGAAAAGTTTTGCGACCTCCGAAGATACACTTGAAGACTCCGCGGCCGCTTGCTTCAGCACCTCTCCAGTGTTCCTCTCGAGGTATTGCAACCAATTCGACGTGTTGCCTATGATCGCGAAGTACTTGCCTCCCTTCATGAAGGCCATGCCGAACTTGGACTCTGATTGCAGCAATTTCCGAGTCACCGTAGCCCGTTCTTTGCCTTGCAACACTGGGAAAACACCGTGCAACATTGAAACCTGCTGGGTTTGTAGAACTGGCACTAACAGAGCAGCTACAGATGCATCATCGGTTTTTTTCTTCACTGGCAGCTTCGAGTCTGGCGCTGGCGGCCTCATCTTGAGAGGAGTTTCGTCAGCACGGTAACAATCCACGTGCAGAAGTAGATCTTCGCTGCTCGAAGATTGGACAATGTTGTTCTCAATATCTTGCCGAATCAGTCTCTCCAAATAAACGCTTATGGCTGCAAATTTTATCATATCTGGCTTCACGGCCCGAGTGTTCCCCATTCCCGCGGCTTTGCCAGCAGTTCTAAAAGCGCATGCTGGCAACGATTCGGTCTGCCTCAGATAATCGAAAAGTTTGCCCATGTCGGCCAATGCTCGCGTTGACATGTCAATGGAAGGGCACTCTCTGATCATATTCCGCATGCACGCAATGAATGGCCGAAGGGCGTTTACATCTCGTAATCCATCACCCCAAATCGCTTTCGGAACCATCAACTTGTATTTTGATGCCCTCGCAGGATCATCGGCTGGTTCAGGCTCAGGTGTTGGGGGTTCTTCCCGTTGTGCCCTCTTTGCCGCCTTCGCGGCGCGAGCATCTGCGAGTTGCTGACTTCGAGAGCGTAATTGGCCTCGAGAGCACGGGAGCACATCTTGATTCTCTCGAACGAACTTCCAATCGATCTGGTGGTCTACAATATCTGCTCTCAGATCAAAATCTGCCGCGCCCGGTGGCGAAGGAACCACATCGTCTCGAGCGTCTGCCACGGCAGCAGCCGCGGCCCATGGGTCATCGACCACGGGCTCACCCATATGAAATTAGGGTATCGCAATGGAATCGACATACGGTTTGAGCCAAAATGGTTGCGGACGCGCTCTCTATCTCTCCCTTTCTCCTGCTTTGCCCCCCCTCTCAAACGCTGGTTTCCTGCGGGCCCACGCCCCCGCCGAATCTTCCCTCTCCCCCCCATCGGAGGGTTACCTAGGCATAACAATGATGGAAAACCATGGAGCAACGCGCCCCCTCCCCCAGATTGTTCGAAGGGGTTGTTTCGGCCCAGGACATCCACAACGCCAAAAACAGCAGGACTACCAGGATCCCCCCAAGAAACACTAAACAACAAAGTTCGAAACCTTGTGCTAAAACTTACGCATTGCCAACAGAAACGCAAGCACTGTTCGGGGAATAATGCGCGGCGGACCTACTTTTTTTTTGCGCGCACAGTCAAAAACAACTGTTACAACAACTTTTTTTGATCACACACGAACAACTACCCAAACAACTTTTTTTCATGTCTAAACGAACTCCGACAGAGAATCCACAGAAGAGGCCTTTGTGGGGCCCGATGTATCACAACTCTTGGGCCATCTTGGAGCGTCTCGGAGCGCGCCGGGGCCTGCTGGGGCTCGCAGGGGCCTGCTACGCCATTTTGGTCCGAATCGCATTTCTCGCACGCGCGGGGCCCATCTTGGGGTCCCGTTGGCCTGTCTTGGGCGCCTCTGGGGCCGTCCTGGGGCCGCCTTGGACCGTCTTGGGGCCCTCTTGGACCGTCTTGGGGTCCTCTTGGGGACCTCTTCGACCGTCTTGGAGCGGTCTTGGATGCCTCTGGGGGGGGTTCGGGGCGTCGGGAAGCCGAAAAAGCGAGGAAGCAAAACACCTCGGAAAAAAAACAAATAAAAATCAACGATTTTGGCCTCTCGGGGTCGAGGCGGCCTCCGGAACGTCTCGGAGCCGTTCTGGGGCCGCCGGGGCGCCGAGAGCCCCCAGGACCTTCCCGACCCTTCCCGCACGCACGTGCTCCTGCAATATAGTAGAGACTAGCGTGTACCCGTGCTTGCTGCCACTGGCGGAGATGGCCCAAAATGGGCCCAAATGGCGTCGAACACCTGCCCTACCATGATAGGGCAGGGCCGAGACCCGCCAAAATACCCCATGGAGCCCCAAAGATGGCCCGAACTGATCGCCGATAGGAGCCGGAGATGGCCCAAAGTGAACCAGAATAGCGTCGCAAAACCTGGTCTATCATGATAGGCGCCAAGAGACCTCTGGGGCCTGTTTCAAAAACCTCCCGAAGCTATGAACCCCCGCGAGGCGAGGCGATTCTGGGCCACAAGAAGAGCCTCAAGAGGCTGGGGAGGGGGCTCCAGACTGACAAAAAGTGCAAGGGATTTTGGGTCAAATCCGGCAGGGAGCGCCGAACAAGCATCAGACCCCATGGTGCGCTGGGAGCCGCTTTTGGACCGTCTGTGGCCGTCTTAGGCTGTCTTGGGCTGCTGTTGGTGCCGTCTTCGTTGCTTCTTGGGCCGTGATCTTGGGGCTTCTGGGAGTCGTTTAGGAGCCTCTCAGCGCTTCTCGTCGGCCTCCTGGATGCCCCTTGGGCCGCGTGGAGGCGGTCTAGGGCCGTCTGGGGGTTGTCTGGGGCCGTCCTGGGCGTCTCTGGAACAGTCTGGGTACCGCCTGGGGGTTGTCGAGGGCCGTCCTGGGCCGCTCTTGCGGCTGTCCGGGGTGCCCCGTGGGCCGCCAGAGGCGCCTCAGGAGCCGTCCTGGTGCCCATCTTGGGCCCCTGCATGGCTGTCATGGGCGCTGTGAAGAGGGCAAGCCGGAGAATTATTTTCAGAGGAAATGAAACGATTTTTTAAGGTTCGGGCTCTCTTGGGGCTCGTCGTGAGGCCCACTTGGGGCATTCTGGAAGCCTCTTGGGCCGTCTGGAGGCCATTGTCGGGGCCATCTGGGGGTTGCCTGGGGCCGCCTTGGGCGTCTCTGGAGCAGTCTGGGCACCGTGTGGGGGTCGTGTTGGGCCGTCCTGGGCCGCTCTTGAAACTGTCTGGGGTATACCGCGGGCCGCCAGGGGCGCCTCGGGAGCCGTCCTGAAGCCATCTTGAGACCTTGTATGCCCGTCTTGGACGCTATGAAGCGGGCAAGCCTTGGAACTGCCAACATGCACGTTTTCCAAAGCAAATGACACGAGTTTTCGGTGTTCGGACTCTCTTGTTGCTCGTCGTGGAGCCCACTTGGGGCGTTCTGGAAGCCTCTTGGGCCATCTTCGGCCGTCTGGGGGCCTTCTTGGGGGCTTCCTCGTGCGTCTCGGAACGCTCGTGGGCCATCTAGGAAGCGCGCGGAGGCCTGCTGGGGCTCGCAGTGGCCACCGGAGAGGGCCGGTCCGCCGTCACCGATCGGCAGCTCCGCGGGCGCCGGTCCGGCCATTGTAGGAGAGACTAGTGTGAACCCGTGGATGAAATCCACGGTGCGCTGAACCTGGGACTCGCACGCCGTGGGTGAACAGCTTGTCGAAGTTGAACAGCTCGGGCGTCCCTGGGGCCGTGTCGGGAGCATGTTGGGCTCTGCGGGGCTGTCCTTGAACGCTCGTGGAGCCTCCGCTGGGCCCCCTAGGGCGCCGCTGACGCCGCCTGCATAGCCTTGGCGAGGCTTCATCGGAGCCCGCGGCCCCGGCCGGACAACTTTGACACCCTTCTTGGCTTTGTCCAGAGGCTCTGCCGGGCTGTCATGGAACGCTCCAGGGGCCTCCTCGGGGCCCAATCGGGCGCTGCTGACGCCGCCAATCTAGCCTCGGCGAGGCGACATTGGGGGCCACGGGCGCGGCTGGACAACTTGGGTATCCTGTCTGATTTTGTCGAGAGGCTCCGTGGGGCTGTCCTGACGCGCTCGTGGAGTCTCCGTTGGGCCCCATCGGGGGCCGCAGACGCCGCCGGCATAGCCTGGCGAGGCCCCATTGGGGGCCACGGGCGCGGCTGGACAAATTTGACATCCTGGTTGGTTTTGTCCAGAGGCTCGGTAAAGTAGGTTCAGCAATAGTTGCGGCGCCGCGCGGCTGTGAGGCCGTCATGGGGGTGCTCTGTGGCCTTCCTGGAAGCCTCCTGCCTCGGTCTGGGGCCCTCATGGGGTTCTGGCGACTGTAATGGGGCTCCTGCGGTCGGCTGCAAGGGGGCCGAGGCCGTGCTGGAGCCCGCTTGGGACCGTCCAGGGGCTGACTCGGAGGTCTCGTGAGGCTCCAAGGGCCCGTTTTGGGGCTTCTTGGGGCCTCCTGCCTCGGTCTGGGGCGCTCACGGGGCCCTGGGGGGCTGTTATGGGGCTGTTGGGCCTGCTGGGGTCGGCTGCAGGGGGGCCGAGGCCGCGCGGGAGCCCGCTTTGGACCGGACCGTCCTGGGGCTGTCATGAGTGTCCCGTGGGGCTGGCTTTATGGGCCAGTCTTGGGCTCTCTTGGAACGTCTTTAGGCCGTTTGAGCCGTCCAATAAGCTATGGTAGGGTTGCGTCTCGGGCGAAACTGAAATCATTTCGGAACTCCGGGCCGTCTGGAGGGTCTCTGGGCCAGAAATGGAGAGAACCTCGAAAACTATGAAAATACAAAACTGTTGGCGAATCGGGCCGTCATGGGGGTGCTCTGTGGCCGTCTTAGAGGTCTCGTTCTGGTCCCTGGCCCTTCCGGAAGTCTTGGGGGCAGCTTGGGCCTTGGTGGGGCTCTTCGTAAGGCTTTCTGGCGCTCTCTTGACGTCCACAGGCCGTCTTGGGCGGTCGAGGGCCGTCCCAGGAGCGCCGGCGACCGTCGAGGCCCGCCCCCCGGGCGCGGGGAGCCGCCCCGAGCCACTCTGTCTGAACTCGCACGCGCTGATCCCGGTATTGAAATATAGTACAGATGACGTCGGGATCCAACGCTGCCTCCCACATCTCGCTAAGCAGCGACAGTGCGTGCTGCCACTGTCCGCCCTTCTCGCACGCGCTGATCCCAGCGGTGTAGCTGACTAGGGCTGACCCGTGGACTCCGTCCACGACATCTTTCTGGAATGGTTCTCGGAGGAACGGCGCAGATTGTACCGAAAATCTACAAACACGGTGGCGGCTCGGGCGGCGGCAGCGAGACCGCGCCTTCGTGTCCGAGCTCTTGCAGCGCTCCAGCAGCTTGGCCCAGCGCACTGCTCGTTCACCCCCCTCCTATTGAGGACAGTTTCGAAGTCTCTCGGGGATGTGCGTCGAAGTCGAAGCCCATCTGAGGCGTCTCAGGAGCGCTCGGGGAAGGGCTCGGGAGGCCATCGGGGAAAGCCACCGAAAGCGCCGGGGAGGCTCGCAAGGATCTACAGGGAGGGCCCAAGAGAGCTTCAAGAAAATTTGAAATTCTGTAAAATCTTTAGAGAAACCGCTGTTGGGTCGGCCATCACCTCCGGGCGCGCCTTGATGGTGCGATCCAGTCGCATCACCGCCAACGGGAGGGTTTGTTCGCCATGTCCCATTCTGTTCGCCCAGAGGGTCTGTGGAGGCCTTCGGGCGAACAGAACGGGACAGGGCAAGGAATGGGGAAGACTTGTCCGAATCTCCTGGGCCCCCCAGGTGCTCGTCCGAAGAATGCGGAGAAGTCCCAGGGTCATATCAATTGGCTGCTGTCCCAGGGGTCCGGTCTGCTTGGCCCGAAGAGTTCGCCAAGGCCCCTGGGGGAACAGAATGGCACAGCATATCGGGCAAAGGGGGCGGTAGCTGGCCTGTCAGACCCGGCGTTCGTCTTCTGCCCAAGCGGCGCGGGGCCCACGCGCCCCAGGGTTGGCGGCCCGCTGGGTTTCCTCTTGTTCGCCCACAGGGTTGGAGGAGGCCTCCAGGCGAACAGAATGGGGCGGGACAATGAATGTGGGAGACTTGTCGCAAGCTTCCAGCCCCCCCAAGTGTGCGCCCGAAGGGTGTGGGGCCGCGTTGGCTCCCTCAAAGGGCCGTCTTGGAGCCGTCCAGGCCCGTCTTGAGGGCGCCACTTGCCGTGATGGGGCCGTCTTGGTTCGTCGTGGGCCCCTCATGGTCGCGTCCGTAGGCCGTCCTGGGCCCATCGGGGTCCTCGTGGGGCTGTCTTGGAGCCGTCTGGGACCGCGAGGGGGCCGCCTTGGAGTCGTCTTGGGCCTCTCCTGTGCGCCTCCTTGGGCCGTCCTGGGCCCAGCAGGGGCCGTGTTGGCACCCTCTTGGGGCTGTCTTGGAGCCGTCTTGAGCCGTCGCAGCGCGCCTTTGGTTGTGCTGGGTCCGTCTTGGCCCGTCTTGGGGCCTTCCTCGGCGTTTCCTCGGACGCTCCTGGGACTTTCTGGGGCCTCTTGGTGCATCGGACCGCCGAAACGGCGGGAAACGCAAAGGGTGTAACAGTAAACAATGGAAAATTAACGATTTTTGCCAGCTGGGGCTCTCTTGCCATCTTGGCCCGTCTTGAAGCCCCGACTGGGCGCGTCCTTGGGCCGTCCTGGGCGCACCCTCCTGGGACCGTATTGGAATCGTCTTGGGCCGTCTTGAGCGCGCCTTGGGCCGTCCTGGGCCCGTCTGGGGCCGTGTTGGCACCCTCGCGGCGAGGAAGCTTGGAGGCGGGCTCGAGGCCTCTTTGGGGCCATTTTGGAAGCTGTTGGGGCCTCTGTTGGGGCCTCGTTTGGGCTCCATGGGAGCCTCCTGGGGCCTCTTCGGGGGATTCTTGGCGGCCCCTTGGGACCTCTTGGGGGCCTGTTTGGGCCTCCTGGCGCCCTCTTGAGGCGGAAGGCTCGGATGTTCGGTCCGTGGTCCCCCTCTTGGCCCCCTCTTGGGCCTGTCTTCGGGCCCTCGTGGGCCGTCTTGAGCGTCTCTTGGGTCGTCTTGGGGCCCTCTTGGGCTGTCTTGGGGCGATCTTGGAAACCTTTTGGGCCGTTCTGGGGCGCTCTTGGAGGCCTCTTGGGCCGTCTTCGAGCGTCGGAAAGCGGAAAAGCCGAGAAAGCTAAAATCCTTCTAAAACCGTAGTAAAACGGACGATTTTGAGGCCCAAAACCGTCCAAAACCTCCTGAGGCGGTCCCCTCGTCTGCCCCCCTCGCTTCGAAACAGTTTTTAAGCCCCGTGGCACCTCTTGGGGACCTCTTTGGCGCTCCTGGGGGCCTCTTGGGCCTCTCTGGGCTCGTCTATCGCGCCCCTTGGGCTGTCTTGGGGCCCCCTAGGGCCTTCTTGGACGGTCCTCGGGCCGTCTTGGAGCCATCTTGGGCCGCTCATCGGGCCATCTTGGGGTCCCGTTGGCCTGTCTTGGGCGCCGTCCTGGGGCCGTCCTGGGGCCGCCTTGGACCGTCTTGGAGCCCTCTTGGACCGTCTTGGGGTCCTCTTGGGGACCTCTTCGACCGTCTTGGAGCGGTCTTGGATGCCTCTGGGGGGTTCGGAGCGTCGGGAAGCCGAAAAAGCGAGGAAGCAAAACACCTCGGAAAAAAAACACATAAAAATCAACGATTTTGGCCTCTCGGGGCTCTCTTGGGAGGCCTCTTGGGCCGTCTTGGGGAGCTCTCGGGCCGTCTCGGGCCAATCTTGGGCGTCTTGGCCGGATCATTGCGCGCCTCGGGGCCCTCTTGAGCGGCTCGGAGCCGTCCTTGGGCCGTCGGGGCGGCCTCCGGAGCGTCTCGGAGCCGTTTCTACCCATTTGGGTGTATTTCCTTCCGGCACGCGGTTCCTCCGGCCATATAGTACAGACTAGGGCTGACCCGCGGCCTTCCGGCCGCGGAATCTGTCTGCCATGGCGTGGACGTGGAAGTGGAGCGTCTCTGGGGCCTCGCGGGAAAGGAGAGGGTGGAGGGGACGGCGTGAATGAGGAAGTGGCCGCTGGCTGGAGGTGGAGGCGAGCGGGGGATGCAGGCAAGCAGACCTGAAGGCAGGAACGCGGTGGTGGAGGCGGTGCCACTGGAAGCACACCCATGTAGGCATGACATGGTGTGGGCGGAAGCTGTTTCTGACACCGCAGCTTGTGTTCATCATAGTTTCTGCGGGGAGGGTAGCCGTGAGAAGTTATCTGCTCTTCGCTGGGGCCGAATGATAATTGTATCTGCTAGTCTGGTGACAATGGAGCCAGCGGGCGCGGCCTAGGAAATCCGCCACCGTGTCTGTGCCTGGGTAATGGCTCAGAGGCCTCTGGGGTCTCTTGGGGCTCTGGGTTCTCTTGGAGGCAGCTCTGGGGCCTCTTGGGGGCCGTCTTGGGGCCTCGTGGGGCTTCTGGCGTTCCCTGGGGGCCGCCTCTGACCTCTTGGGGGCCGTCTTGGGAGCCGTCTTGGGGGCCGTCTTGGGAGCCGTCTTGGGGGCCGTCTTGGGCCTCTTGGGGGCCGTCTTGGGGCCTCGCGGGGCTTGCTTTGGGCTTCTTGGGGGCCTCTGGCGTTCCCTTGGGGAGGTCTTGGGGCCTTGTGGGGGCCCAGGGCTCAGACTGTCAGGGTTTTTCCCGATTCTGTGGCCCCCTCTTGGGCCTGGCTTGGGGTCCCCTGGGGCCGTCTTGGGCGCCTCTTGGGCCATGCGCAGGGGCTCCCTGGGTCGCCTGGGGACGCGCTTGGAGGCCTGTTGGGCCGTCCTGGGGCGGTCTTGTGGGTCTCTTCGGCCGTCTTGGAGCGTCGGCTAGCCGAGAAGGCGAGCAGGCAAAACTCCTTCAAAAACCATTGAACAATTAAGCTTTGGGCCTCTGGGGGCTTGCTTCGGAGGACTGTGGCAGGCTCTTGGAGGCATCTAGGGCCTTGGTGCGGGCCTCCAGGGGGCTTCTAGGGCTTTGGTGCCTCTATGGGGCCTCTGGGACGCTCCTTGGAGCCTCTTATGGCCACTTCGGCGCGTCTTTGGGCGGAGGGCGTGATTTGTGACGCTCGGGGGCCAGGATCTTCGTGAGGGGTGTCGAAGAATGGCCCTCCGGGGAACGCATCGGTCCACATGCGCTGTTTTGACGTTCTGGCACGCGCTGATGTCCTCCGCCATAGAGAAGAAGACTAGTGCGAGCCAGCGGACCACATCGGCGGTGGGCAGAACCATCTTCGTATTTCTGCTCTCGGCTGTTTGCTGCTGTCTTCCGCTACTTCATGCCGCTTGCTGCTCTGGGCCGCAGTATGCTGCTGCTGACCGATGTTGCCTGCTGGTGTTGCGGGTTCATGCTGCTCCGGATTGCTGCTGGCGCTTGCATGCTTAGATTGAAGCTAACTGGTGTGGCTCAGATTTGCTGCTCATCTCTGTGCCGCCGCTGGGTCTGCTGAATGCTTGCAACGTTCGCTGTCCCGTCCTGTTTTGATGCCTCCTTGTGCCTGCCTGAGGCTTTCTTCGGCCTGCTGCTGCTGATAGGTGGTGTTCGCTTCTCTTGACTGCTGCTAGCTATGTCACTGCGGGCAATGCTGCGCTCGCTTGCCGGGATCGCTGCCTCGGCTCAGTGCCCACTTGAGGCGATCTCGGGGCCGTCCGGGGCTCTCCTGGGGCCCTCTTCTGGGGCCTCTCGAGGCCATCTGGCCGAGCCCTTTCAAACGGTCTGGGGGCCCCCTGGGAAAGCATTCGGCCCAGCCTGTGGCGGTTTGGAGGCTGCCTTGGGCCGTCGCGGAGCCTTCTTGTGCCCGCCAGCGCAGCCTCGCAGTCTTGGGCCGTCTCGGGGGCATCGCCGGCCCTTTTCGGGGCTTCGGTGCGCCGCGCGGGCGCCCTCGGGGGCCCTACTGGGTCTCTGCCAGAATCACCTGGAACTGTAGGAACTGGAGAATAATGCCGATGACGTGCCTACGACAATCCGCAGATCTGAAACAAATTGTGTCTGTCGGGGGGATGAGGCGTGCCGCCCTCCTACAGTCGGGCCGCTGTCACAAGGAACCCAGAAAAGGAACGAGGCCCCTTCTTTCCATGAGTGAAACTTTGACTTCACATCGAAAACCTGCGGAAGATCTAAGTCAAGCTGTAAAACCATTAAGGAGCACTGAGACCCTCCCAAACAAAGAATACATTCTTCAGCGGTCTGCCTGTACCTTCTCATCACTCAAGGTGCGGGATCAGCTGTGCCGCAATCTGGCTCTTGCTGCACGGTGCCGCTGGCAGGACAATGTCTCTCGGGGGCAGGGCCGTCCTAGACATCTCTGGGCCACCTTGTTTCTATCTTGGGCCGACGGAGGGCGTCCTGGCCCGTCCAGGGAGCCTCCTGGAGGCGACCTCCAGCCAGGCCATACTGGAGCCTCCCTGGGCCACCCTGGCGCATTCTTGAGCCGACCAGGCGCGGCCTGTCCCGTCCTGAGCGCATCCTGAAGGCGATATCGTGCCCTTCAGGAAGCGCACGCCGTGCTGCCTGGGACCGTCAAGGTCTCCGGCCTGGGCCGTGAGGACCCTGCTGCTCGTTCCAGCTGGCACGCGCTGACCAGGCATAGAGTCAAGCTGCTATCATAAGGGATGCTGCGAAAAGAAACGAAGCCCGTTTTTGACCCATGAAGCGCCTGGGTGTACCAGAATGAACAGCCACGGGCACACTTAAGGAATAGCGAGCTCCTCCGAACCCACACTGCTCGTTGCGTGAGCGTGCTTTCTATAGTAGCAGAGGCAGAGGCTGAAGCGATTCCGTGGATTAAATCGACGAAGCAGGGCAGCTGGGTTAGTAGAGCTGGAGGAGACAGGGAGTGGCAGTGGAAGGGGAGGGGCTTCCCTGAGCGCGCACGGACCGCAAGTACAGCAGCTGACGTTAGGCTCCAACTTCGCCCCCCGCATCTCGCCGAGCAGCGACAGGGTCCACTGCCACTGCTCGCCCTTCTCGCATGCGCTGATCCCCGCGCTGTAGCTGATGACATCGGGCGTCAGCTTCGTTTCCCTCATCTCGTCAAGCAATGACATGGCCTGCCGCCACTGCGCGCCCTTCTCGCACGCGCTGATCAGAGCGTTGTAGATGACGATGTCGGGGCCCAGCTTCGCCTCCCATATTCCGCTGAACAGCTTCAAGGCCTGCAGCCAAAGCCCACCCGCCTCACATGCGCACATGGCAGCGCTATAGCTGACGGCATTGGGCTCCAACTTCGTCTCCCGCATCTCCCCTAGCAAAGACAGGGCACGCTGCCACTGTTTGCCCTTCTCGCACGCACTGATCCCCGCGCTGTAGCTGATAGTGTGAACCCGTGGGAAATCCACGGCTGGCAGATCAAGGTGTCGAGCCGAACGCGCATTTGTCGCGGATCGCAGGCGGCGCGTGCGCGTTCGGGACCGACATCTTCTCGGGTTTGCTGCTGGCTTCAGGCTCTGAGGCTGGAGGCTGTCTCCGAGCGTCTTGGGAGGATCTGGGGTATCTTGGAGTGGTCCTTGGAGGGGCCTCGTGGCATCGACGGCTGCGGGAAGCCCGTACTCCAGTCTCGCTGCATCCTCTCGCAAGAGGAGGAGGAGGAGGAGGAGGAGGAGGAGGAGGAGGGGGAGGAGGAGGAGGAGGAGGAGGAGGAGGAGGAGGAGGAGGAGGAGGAGGGAGGAAAAGGAGGACGAGGAGGAGGAGGAGGAGGAGGAGGCGAAGGAGGAGGAGGAGGAGGAGAGGAGGAGGAGGAGGAGGAGAGAGTACCAGAGAGGGGGGGGGGGGGGCAGGTTCCGAAAGGAGAAAGCCGAGGCAGAGAAGATGGGAGAAGGTCCCTCCAGTCACCCCCCATCGGCGGGAGGGGGCCTCGCGACGTGCTTGGGGTGCCCTCGTGGGCCATCCCTGGTCTTCGATAGCTCGCGTGGGGCCTCCACGGCCGTCGTGGGGCCCTGGTGCGGGTCCGGGGCCGTGGTGGGGCTCGGCCAGGGCCCGCTGTGGCAACTTCCGGGGTGCCTCGGGGGGAAGCCTGAAGCTCGATCAAGCCGTCTGGGGCCTGTGACTCGCAGAGCTTCCTTAAGAGCGAAGCGGCGAAGCTTAAGAGTAATTCGAAAACGCTGGCGGGCTAGTTGGCTCGAAAAATCTCGACGGATGTTTTGCTGATTTTGGGTCGGTTGAAAATCGTGTTCTTAAAATTCAACAATTCGTTAGAGCGCTACTATGTTTTCCGATAGACTTTGATATCACTCCCGCTCGCCATCTTGATAGCAGGTCGATCGGGTGGATATTACGATCAAAAAGCACATGGGCGGGATCGGGTGTTGAGTGTCATCTTGGCAGGTGCTGTCGGTTTTCTGAACTCAAATCGAGCTGTAGATGAGGCACGGAGCTGCGATGCACACCGATCGACAAGGAATGATCGGGAGCGCTACTCTAAAGTGTCTAGACGGCTGAGATCGGTCTGCTACCAGAGCTGCGACAAAAACAAATTATTTGCACTCGTTAAATGTTTTGACAGGCGGTGCTGGTTTTCTCTACTTAATTCGAGTTGTAGACAAGCCACGGACCTGGGAAGCACACCGATCAACAGGAAATGATCAGGAACATTTGCCTACAGCATCAAGACGTCTGAGATCGGTCTGCTACTGAAGCTGCGGTTCAAAAACTACTCGCACTCTGTAATTTGCTGTCGGCTTGCTTAACTTAACTCGAGCTGTAGAGGAGCTACGGAGCTGAGATGCACACCAATCGACAGCAAAGCATTAGGAGCGCTGGTCTAAAGTATCTAAGAGCCTGACATCGGTCTGCTACCAGAGCTGCGACCAAAAAGCGATTAGCACTCTTCAAATGTTTGAGACGCGATGTTGGTTTTCTCTATTTAATGCGAGCTGTAGGCAAGCTGCGGAACTGGGACGCACACCGCTCGAATGGAAAAAGACCAAGAGTGCTAGTCTGGAGTTCTGAGACGTCTGAAATCGGTCTGCTACCAGAGCTGCGACCGAACAACTAGTTGTACTCTGCAAACAGCTACCAAGCTGTCAAACACATCATGCGATATGAAATGAGCATGCTCTACACGTGACGAGACCTTCTCAAGATTGCTATACATTCTTCAAACATATGTTCAACTTGAGTCGTGTATTTTCTTGCGTGGGTGTTTGTCTCAACTGAACTCGAGCTGTGGGCAAGCTAAGGACTGGCCATCGCTCGGACGTCCATTCCCTGTTTGTTTTTCGATTTCGTGCGTGGCTTTTTCGCCAAATGATCAAGGATGCTCCTCGATGGTCCTCGCCGACGGAAAAATGCACACGTCCGAGCGATGCCAAGAGGAGCTGTCAAGCACATTTCTATGAAACCGCACACCCTCGAGCGCGCTGAGTGCGAGATTGCCGCGCTCGCATGCCATTAAAATATATATGGCAAGGAAGCTCTACGAGTTCCCAGCGGTAACCAAGGTTCGCGGTTTACCGCCGGCTTCCAGTATTGGGAAGGGGGTGGGGGCTCTGTTATGGCGTCGTGGTGCCCCCGTCGGGGCCTCGCGGGACCGTCATTGGGAGAACGTGCGGAAACATTGGGGACTACAAGGTTTTTCCTTCATCTCTGGCCTCGCGGGACCGTCATCGGGGCCTTCGTGGGCCCCCCCGGGGACGTCCCAGGGGCATCTTGGGCAATCTTGAAGCTACACTGGGGGCCTGGGGCCGTCTGAGAGCCAAGTGTGGGCCGTCTTGGGCAGCTCTTGGTGCGCCTTGGGGGGCCACCTGAAACTCGAGTAGGCCGTCAGAGGTCTGTCTTGGGGCGGCTCGGGGCCCTCTCGTATCGATGTGTTGCACTCGTGGGGCCTTTTGAGTCGTCGTGGGGAGATCGCGACATGCGGGAAGCTGCGTGGGGCCGTTCTGGGCCCGTCATGGCGAGAACGTGGGAAACATGGGAAACATACAAAAAGTGTGCTTGATATCTGGTCTTGTGGGTCCGTCTTCGGAATCCTCTCTGGCCCTCTTGGGCCATCTTCGGGCCATGATGGGGGTCTGTTTGGGGCCGTCTGAGAGTCTTGTTTAAGCCCTCCTGGGCAGTTCCTGGGGCGTCTCGGGAGGCAAACGGAGGCTCGGCCATCCCGGTGCGATCTTAGAAATACATGAGCCGTGTGGGGGCGTTCTGTGCCCGTCATTGAGAGAACGTGGAAATATTGGAAAATGCATTATTTTGGCTTGTTTCTTCGCCTCGTGGCGCCGTCATCGTGGTCCTCCTGGGCCCTCTTGGGCCGTCCCAGGGGCCCTTGAGCCGTCCTGGGGCCGTGCTGGGGTCTCGGGCTGTCTTGGAGCTCGCTTTGGTTCCTGTTGGGCAGCTGCTCTGGCCCTCTTGGGCCTGTCTCGGGGGCCACCGTGAGTTCTGTCAGGCTGCCTTGGGCTTCGCTTCGGTAAACTTCGGGTCGTATGGTGCCGTCTTGCGGCAGTTGGCGGGGCCTCCTGGGCCGTCTTAGGGCGATCTGGGATGGCCCGGCAGCCGTCTGGGGCCGTACCGTTCGTGGCCCGAAATGGCGAGAACACGGACATCCTTCGAAAACCCACAAAAAACATTGATTTTGGCTTCGGGGGCGATCGTTTGGCCGGTCGTCGGACCGTCCTTGGCTGTCATGGAGCTACGTTGGGGCTCTCTTGGGATGTCCTCGCGCCCTCCGGAGCGTCTCGGAGCAATATTCGGGCTGCCTGAGGCCGTGTTGGAGCCACCTGGGGGCTCTCGGGAGCCGTCGGAGAGCGGCGGAACGCTCTGGGCGGTCGGGGCCAGCTGGTGCACTGCTGGCGCGTCTCGCACGCGCAACGACCAGAATTGTACAGACGACATCGGGCGCCAACTTCGCCCCCCACATTTCGCCGAGCAGCAGCATTGCCTGCTGCCACTGCTCGCCCTTTTCGCACGCGCTGATCGCAGCGCTATAGCTGAACAAGTTGGGCTCCACCTCCGCCCCCCGCATCTCGCTGAGCAACCAAAGGGCTCGCTGCCACTGCTCGCCCTTCTGGCACGCGCTGATTCCCGCGCTGTAGCTGACTAGGGCTGACCCGTGGACTCCGTCCACGACATCTTTCTGGAATGGTTCTCGGAGGAACGGCGGACATGCTGCCGAAAACCTATAAGCATGGCGGCGGCCGGGGCGGCGGCAGCGAGACCGTACCTTCGTGTCCGAGCTCTTGCAGCGCTCCAGCAGCTTGGCCCCGGCGCGCGGCTCGTTCGCCCTCGTCCGCCCCCCTCGCTTCGAGGCAGTTTTGAAGTCCCGTGGGACCTCTTGGGGACCTCTGTTGGGCTCCTGGGGGACTCTTGGGCCTCTCTGGGCCCGTCTATCGCGCCCCTTGGGCTGTCTTGGGCCCCCTAGGGCCTTCTTGGGCCGTCCTCGGGCCGTCTTGGAGCCGTCTTGGGCCGCTCTTCGGGCCATCTTGGGGTCCCGTTGGCCTGTCTTGGGCGCCTCTGGGGCCGTCCTGGGGCCGCCTTGGACCGTCTTGGGGCCCTCTTGGACCGTCTTGGGGTCCTCTTGGGGACCTCTTCGACCGTCTTGGAGCGGTCTTGGATGCCTCTGGGGGGGGGTCGGAGCGTCGGGAAGCCGAAAAAGCGAGGAAGCAAAAAAAAATCCCCCCAAAAAAAACCCAATGAAAATCAACAATTTTGGCCTCTCGGGACTCTCTTGGGAGGCCTTTTGGGAAGCCTATTGGGCCGTCTTGGGGAGCTCTTGGGCCGTCTTGAGCCAATCTTGGGCGTCTTGGCCGGATCATTGCGCGTCTCGGGGCCCTCTTGGGCCGCCTTCGGGGCATCTTGAGCGGCTCGGAGCCGTCTTTGGGCCGTCGGGGCGGCCTCCGGAGCGTCTCGGAGCCGTCCTGGGGCCGCCGGGGCGCCGAGAGCCCCCAAGCTCTTCCCGACCCTTCCCGCACGCACGTGCTCCTGCAATGTAGTAGAGACTAGGGCTAACCCGTGGCTATCGTGTGCTGCTGCCTGCGACATGTTGTTGCTGCTTTCTCTTGCTGTGCTGGCGTTGCCCGCTGCGGACTGCTGGTGTTCGCGGTTGCTGCCTGAAGCTGCAGAGTGCTGCTCCTTCGCACCCTTGCCAGATGACGCGACCTGCAGCTCGTGAGTGGAGCGAGGAGCAAGGTGCGAGGAATCAGGGTCGAGACGGGAGATCACGGGAAGCGACGAGCAATCAGCGAGGAGCACGGATCGAGAAGGGAGAAGCGACGGCCGAGCAGAGAGAGAGCGGCGAGGAGGGGGCCGGACGCCAGTAGCCAGGGGGCAGAAGCGAGGGGCCAGGAGAGGTGGAAGGAGCGAGAAGAGGGAGCGAGGAGAGGGAGCGAGGAGAGGGAGGCGAGGAGCGGGGAACCCGGAGCGTGGAGCGAGGAGCGAGAAGGAAAAGTATGAGAAGAGGCCGGCACACGCATGTCCCAATGGCCTCGGCGCGCGTGGCCGGACATCTGGTCTCCTCTTGGGTCGCTCATGGGGCCCTCTTGGATGGCTGGCGCGGTCACAGAGCTCGCTGACGGATCTTCAACCGGAAGCCTCCTAGAGGCGGTTTTTGGGGTGTCTTGGGGCCGCTCTGGGCCCTCCCGGGGGCCTCATTTGGGCCTCTTGGAGGCCTCATGGGCTTCTGGTGGGCGTCTTGGGAGCCTCCTGGCGGTCTCCAGGACACACTTGGGGCGGAGGGCGCGAAGTGTCTGTTCTCTAGCTCCCCTCTTGAATGGCCTCGAGCGCCGATCGGGCCGTATTCAAGCATTTTTGGGCCGTCTGGGGGCCCTCTTGGAAACATGATGATAGGCCGTCGTGGGGCGATGTTTGGTGCCTCTTGGGCCGTCTTGGAGCGTCTGAAGTCCGAAAAGACGAAACCGTCAAAATCAATGAAAAACCAAAAAGAAAACGAAATCAACGATTTTGGCCTCTCGGGGCCGTCTCGGAAGGCCTCTTGGGGTGCCTCTCGGAGCCCTCTTGGGCCGTCTTGGGGCCCTGGCGGCGGTCTGAAGGCCATGCTGGCGACCTCCTACACCGTCTGGAGAGCGTCTCGGGCTACCTTGGGCCTGCTCTTACACCATCTGGGGGCTCTGTGGAAGCGTCTTGGGGCGTCCCGGGGTCGCCCAGGAGCGCGCCGGAGCCAGCGAGGACGAGCTTGGTACTTTTGGGTCCGCGCCATTCTGGCACGCGCTTCTTCTGGCCATGTAGGAGAGACGACCCCAGGCTCCAACTTGTCCTCCACAATCTCGCTGAGCAACGACAAGGCCCGCTGCCACTGCTCGCCCTTCGCGCACGCGCTGATCGCAGCGCTGTAGCTAACCAAGGTCGTTCTGCACGAACTCGTCAGATACAAAGAACACCCATGCCAAGAAACACCATGCTTGCCTCCAGGGTGCCCCGAGTTTCTTGCGTTCGATGGTTTTGCAATGGAAAGCGTGACGTTTCCACACCAAAACGACGGACGTCCTCGGGTCTGAGGGTCAGGTTTTGTTGTGTAAGGTTTCTTGTGGTCGGGCTCCTACTTGAGTTGACACATGCGCATCGCATTGCGCATTGGGCTCTGTAGAGCCAGCGAGACCCAAACCAACCCATAATTGAGAAATACTTAACCGAACTCAACCGATGGACTCTGACGACCGTCCGTGGACGCGTATCTGCCGTCATATGTCACATTCATGCGTACATCTGTGTACAGATTTGGAGGATGCCGAAAACCCTGAAACAAAAAAAACATGTTCATCTCTTGAGGGCGCATATTTTACTTCCGCCACCTTCTGCCACCTTCTTCTGGCTTCCGCCGGCGGAGGCGGCCTGTTCTTACTTCCGCCGCCCTTCCGCCGCCTTCCACCGAGGAAGAGATGACAACGCCTTCGATCCTCGAAGGCACGGCCCTTTCTGGAACGCCTCATATGTACTAATGGACATGTGTGTGTGTGTTCTGCCTGTCGCCCCCTTCCTCAAAACATTTGATCCTCACCCTGTCACTCTCTTGCTCCCTCTGCTGCTCCTCCTCCTCCTCCTCCTCCTCATGCTCCTGCTCCTCCTCCTCCTCTCGCTCCTGCTCCTCCTCCTCCTGCTGCTCCTCACGGAGGTCTCCCAAGACTCGGGGGCATCTCGAATGCGTGTGGTAAGCTCGGGAGCTCTCCGACGGGGCCGTCCTGGGCCGAGTTGGAAAAATCCTGGGGCTGTCGGAGTGACACGTCGGAGCTGTTTTGGGCCACCTTGGGCCCGCCACCTGGGCCCGTCTGGACACCTCTGGGGAAGTTTCGGGGCAGCCCTGTGCTCGTCTCGTGCCAGTGCTGCGCTCGCTGGGCCATGTTGCGGCGGCATTGGGCTGGCCTTTGAGCCATCTTGCAAAGATCTCGAGTTGCCATGTACGCATCAAGGCTCGTAGCACGTAATCGTACCGTGATCATTTGCATCGAAACTGGTCCTTACTGCTCCATGGTGAAAAACCTCTACGCAGGTGTTTGGGAGTCTCGTCGGCGTCTCTTCGGAGCCTGTCAGGAGGCTGAACGGGCATGACGGGCGCCTGCTGGATCTGGGTTGGCCGTGGAGCTATCTGCGGGGATCTCGGGGCTGTCGTCCTGAAACCGTCTTGGGTTGCTACTTTGTCTGTCTTGGTTGTCTGTGTGTGGGCCCTTCCTGGAGCAGCCATGGGGCGGGGCCAGGGGGTCCGAACGCTAGCGTTGCTGTTCCTTGCCCCACGCGTGTGATACTGCAGTGTAAAACACATAACGTTGGACTCCAAACTCGCTTTGCACATCTCGCTCAAGAATGCCATGGCCAGCCGCCACTGCTGGCCCTTCTCGCACGCGCTGATCACAGCGTTGTAGATGATCAGCGGGCTACCGTCCACGCAAAATTGATGGCCTGCCCAGGGCGGGCTGAAACACACGTGGCGCATCACATCATGTGGGAGGCGAGATGTGTTCATGACGCGGGACGGCGGGCACACCGCAGCAATGACTGGCGGACTCCGCACAACACGGCACAAAATGAAGCCCGCAAAGGTCGTACCGGGTTTTCCTCTGACGAACCCAGATGCGCAGTAGGCCATCTGCATTTTAATTGTGCGCTTCTGCGCGACAAGCGGAAACGACCTCCAGCCGATTCTAAGCTGGGCGTGGTACTGACGCGGGTTTCCATCTTCGCCCCCCCCCCATGACCACCACCCGATCGACCCCGTCCCCCCCCCGCCCGCCCTGCCACGGGGGCCACAAGCCACGCCGTGGCAGCGCAGAGCGCGACGGACCTGTTGGCGCGACGAGCGGGCGGGCCACCCCGACCCGCGCAAATGCCCGCGCGCCGGAGCACGCCAGCGGGCACGCTAGCGTGAGCCGACCCAGCCACGAGCGCCCCCCCCCCGATCCCAGCGGGCGCGGACAAGAAGCCCGAACCGAGCCCGCAGGCACGCTTGCAATCGCGTGCGCCCTTGTGGTGGCGCGCTCGCGCGCGCGCGCCCGCCTCAGCCTCGGGGCAACGAGAACCGCCCCCGAGTCCCAGAGACGGCGGCGCGCGTGCAGGCCCCGTAGGCCACCTACGACGGGGCCCACAAATGTGGCAATTATTTTTGTTGGGGAGAAGTTTCAAACGACATCCATGTTCAGTGGCGGTACCAGGGCCTCTAGACTGGAAGGCAATCGGGCGCAGGGGGGACTCCAGCAATTCTGGCCACATCGAGGACAAGTTACCGGCCACGCCAAAAATCATGGTCACATTGAGAAAGAACATTGTGGTCACACTGACAAGAAACAGTGGTCACGTAGAAATAGTGGTCACATGGGCATGCAGCAAGGCTGACAACGACGACGGCAAAGATCACGGCAATCGCGCCCACCTTCGCCCGCGAACCCTCTCCTCAGAAGTTGGAAACAAGAGCGCGCGCCCTCTGCATTCACTGCGACCCCCATGTCACCATGTGGACTACTACGCTCGAGCGAATCGGGCGCCCGCGTGGACCCGGGCGCCCGCATCACAAATGCACACACCGAAATGCGAAATGCGAAATGCGATCCGGAGGACACCGGGGTAACGCTTTGATGCTGGAAACGAAACAAGTGCGTTGATTCCAACGCTCCGACGTGCTGTTTGCTCGAGACGCGCCGGAACTCAAGCTGAACATAACTTCTTTCTGTTTTTGAATCATGGGAGCGCTGTTTTGTGGGACTTCGAGTCGGCCCCACGACGAAGGCAATCATATTCCCGACTCGGCACCGCGGACACCTCACAGCTTGCCGCAGCCCCGCGCGCCTGCGCACGGAACGGCGGATACAACAAGTAGAAAGGACTAGCGCGCTCGCGGCAGCAAGTCGTTGCGGCCCCTTGGCTTGTTGCCTTTCTCTGCCGCTTGCTGTCGCTGTTGCTCGATTGATGCCACTCGGTGCTGCTAGGCTGCCGCCCGCTGTCAGTTGGTCATTGCTGCGTGGTGCCAGATTATGTTGCCTGCTGCTGTGTTGGTGCTTGCCGCGGTTCGTTGCTGCTGTCTGTAGTTGGTCTACGCAGCTCGCTGCTAATTGCTACTGTTTTCCGATGCCTGTCTCTGCAGCTGCTTGCTGGTGCTTGGTTGTTGTTGCTTGCTGCTGCTCGCTGCATGCTGTTGCTGCCTGCTGGTTGACATTGCTGCCGACAGCCACTTGTGGCTGCTTCTGGCTCTGCTGCTAGCAATGCTGCTGAAAGATTATCGGAGCACGTTGGGAGTAGATTGAAGCATCCTGGGCCGTCTGTTGACAACCCTTGTGAGGCTGTCTTGGGGCCGTCCGGGGCCCTCTGTGGCCCTCTTGGGCCACACTGGGGGCATCTTGGAGCCCTCATGAGCGATCTTCAAGTACCTGGGGGTGCCTGGGGGACCTCCCTCCTGGGCTGTATTGCAGCCCTCTGGGGGCGCACGTGTTTCCTGGGCTGTTTTTCAGCCCCAGGGAGCACTTTCCCCCCAGATTGGGGCTCTGTTTGGGCCGTAAGCCGTAAGCATATATGACACCCAATGCTCGGGGCACCTCGAGGCCCTCGGACACGCTCATGAAGCCGTCTCGGATCGAAACGCTTGGACTGCTAACCCCAGCCGCGCGTTGAACTAAAGAACTACTTGTCTCATCGGACCTCTCTTGGGGGCCCTCAGTCTGTCGTGGCATCGGCCTCCTGGGTGGTCCTGAAAGCCTGTCGGGCAGTCTTCGGGTGCTCTTGAAGCACTTGAGGGCCGCTTGCTGGGGATTCTGGCCAGCCCGCTCCGGCGTGGGACGTCAATGCAACACTGACCTGATTCTGGAACGACAAATCCCCAGCCCCTCTGACACGCACTGCATCCTGCAACCTTCAAGAGATGACGTCGGACTCCAACGTCGCCTCCACCATCTCGCTGAGCAGCGAAATTGCCTGCTGCCACTGCTCGCCCTTCTCGCAGGCACTAATCCCAGCGCTGTAACAGACTGGTCCAGACCTTTGGATGAGAGCCCACTTGGGCTAGCAGCCGAGTATGCTTGCATCGCGTGTTTCGTGAACGAAATATGGTCTCGTAGGCTCGGGGACTCTGCGCCCCCTGAGATCCGACGCTGCGAAAGAGTGTTCTCACATGGTTGCAACATAGCAAAAACTCACGACCAGAGCCCTAGACGGGCGAAACCGCCCGGTGCGAAACAAACGCACCTTCTAGATCTGAGGTCGGGGCCTCTGCTCTGATCGCGCCCGCGCGGACTTCTTGGATCGGCGCTGGGCCCCGCTCCAAAAAACTGCGGGGACGCCGCACAGACCCGGGTCCAGGGCCAGCTCGGGGCCTTGGCCATCATGAAGCCGCCTCGGGGCAGGCTTGCAGGCCAGGATGAGCAATCTTGGGCCGTCTTGACAGCGTCTGTGGCACTCTCAGGGGTCTCCTCGGCGCTGTCGGAAGCTTCCGGAGCCCATCTCTAAACGCTCATGCGAGGGAAGACGGAGAACGCAGAAATTGACAAACACATTTGGATTTACACGGTCTTGAACTTCGGCGAGGATATACGCGGCTTTTCTTGGAGCCTTGTCGAGCTCTCTGGGGGCCACCTTAATGCCTCTCTGGCGTCTAAGGGCCGTCTTGGCGCCTGCTGGGCCATATCGGAGCCCCCTTGAGGAGGACCTGGGCCGTCTGCAGGTGCTCCCATTGGTCTCTTCGGGGTCTCTTCGAGGCCCCCAGATACCTCCGCGACCGTCTGTGGACGGGCCGGGCCGAGTCTGCCCCCCACGAGGCTGGCGGCGGCTGCTGCTGACCAAATTCTTACGCGCCGCACCCAGTATACCAGAGGAGACTCGGGCCAACCAGTAAATCCGAGGGGGGCTGAGAGATGTGCGCAGAAGCATTCAGAGATGCCGCTGGACCTTTCTGGCACGCACTCGGCTCAGAATCGTGTTGCCTCTTCGACTGACTGCCGGCTCTGCTGCTGCTGCTGGGCAGTCTGGCAACACAATCGAAACTCTCCGGGCCTCCTGGAACGTCTTGGGGCGACGTTGGTAGGGCGCTTGTTGGGGGCACTCGGGTTGGCTGTAACCCCTCTGGCGGCGGTCTGAGGCTGTTCGGAGCCTGTTCGAGGGACCCGTCTGAAGCGCCTCGTGGGTCCTCTGTGGCGGACCCTGAGCAGCTCGAAGCGCCCTCCTCGGCGGACGTGGCACTGTCTCAGGCGCCGTGGAGCCTCATCTGTAGCCGCCTGGGAGCCTTACTGGAGCTCGCTGGGGCCCTCGGAGCCGCGAGGGCAGCACCGTGAACGACGACGCCAACGTCGACGACAGTGGTGGCGACAGGCGCCCGCGCGGGAGCGGGAGCGGCGGGGCGCGTGCAACGCAAAGGTAAACTGCGAGGCAGCCAAGGACGGCGCCCGCTTCCTCCTCCTCCTCCTCCTCCTCCTCCTCCTCCTCCTCCTTCCTTCCTTCCTTCCTTCCTTCCTTCCTTCCTTCCTTCCTTCCTCCTCCTCCCTCCTCCTCCTCCCTCCGCCCTCTTTCCCGCGATGACAGCGGAGCGCCGTTTGCGCGACGCGGGGGCGGCCGCCCCCCCCAGCTGGCGGGGGCGCTCCCCACCCGGTGAAACTGCGAGGCAGCCGAGGACGGGGCGATCTTGAGCAGCACGACCCTGCCAGAGAGACTGGCTGGGCATGCGGAGCCCACCCTGAAGGACCCCCACGGAAGCCCTGAAGCCATGCGTTTCCGACAGATGGATCGTCACCGTTCCGATCATAGTATTTGTCCGTCGGTCACAACCCGCCAGAAGGCCGCCCAGGCGCCTTCGTGAGAGGAGCCAGTACAGAGAGGATCGGGGGGAAAAGGCCTTCGTCCACTCCTGGGCAGCAGAGCCGATTCTCACGACAACACAAAAGTAGCCAATAGATTTGCACAATGATATCGACTAACTAGACTAACTACTACACGGGACCGCTTCGCTCGCACAAAGGCAGTTTCACCGTAGGGATGCATGGCAGCCCGCTTCTTAGCATGCTCGTCAACTGCTCTGTTAACCTCTGTGTGCCACGCTGGTCGCCGCTGGTCATTCCCAGACAAATGATGGATAGACTTGCGCACAGCTTTGATATTATATCCTGTCATCTGCTGCGTTGTGCATCCTCATCCACAAGCCAGAATGCAAGCCAACCAGAGTAGAAGCCAACCAGAGTAGAAGCCAACCAGAGTAGAGCAAGGGTGTCGAGGACCCAATGGCAATCACCGACCTAATGATATTACCCTCCTTTACAGGAGCTGCGTTCAGTTGAAAGACAAGGATCGCGAGTGTCTTACAGCCTGAATCGAGCCCGGATACGGCCCATCAACTGTCGCGTTGGCATTGCCGAGAGGGGAGAGGATGGAGGGAGGGAGGATGAAGGAGGAGGGAAGGAGGGACGTGGGAGAAGGAAGGAAGGAAGACGGGAAGGAGAGAGGATGAGGACAGATTGCGAGCACTGCTGCGCGTCAGGCTGCACCTGAAGTTGATCAAGAGGTGGCCACCTCGCCGAGAGTTGCCTGGGCCACGCATCTTCGCGCACTGAGCCCCACGGTGCGTGGTTACCTTCGCGCACACGCCCGCCCGCCCTGGACCCTTGTGGAGGGCTCCTCCCTAACATTCCCCAGCTCGAGCCGCATAGGCGAAGCGCGGCTATCCTCGTGCCCCCTCGGGCGACCTGGGCTGCACACGTGATCTGGAGAAAGCCGTTCGGTTTCAGCAGACCCGCTCCGAGGGGGCGGGAGGAACGGCTGCCGCTCAACCAGGTCCTGCTGTGCCGCAGGTCTGCTCGTGGGCCTCGGAAAATCTTGAGCGCAGCCGCCCAGGCGAAACCGCCCAGGCGGAGGCGTGGTGGTGGGCACGATCAATCAATATATAATCTCCCACGCGCGACCCACGTCAACGTAGATCAGATGACGTTAGGCTCCAGCTTCGCCTCGCGTGCCCTCTTGAGCAGCATCAGGGCATGCTGCCACTCCTCGCATTTGCAACACGCGCTGATCCCAGCGCTGTAACTGATGACGTCTGGCTCCAGCGTCCATTCTGTCATTTCGGTGAGCAACGCGATTGCCTGCTGCCACTGCTCGCCGTTTCCGCAAGCGCTGATCCCAGCATTATAGCTGACTAGTGTGTACCCGTGCTTACTGCCACTGGCGGAGATGGCCCAAAGTGGGCCCCAATAGCGTTGAAAACCTGCCCTATCATGATAGGGCAGGGCCGAGGCCCGCCAACATACCCCATGAAGCCCCAAAGATGGCCCGAAATGATCGCCGATAGGAGCCGTAGATGGCCCAAAGTGGACCAGAAGAGCGTCGAAAACCTGCCCGATCATGATGGGGCAGGGCCGAGACCCGCCAAGAGACCTCTGGGGCCTGTTTCAAAAACCTCCGGAAGCTGTTACCCCTCCGACCCGAGGCGAGGCGATTATGGGCCGCCAGTAGAGCGAAACACGGCATGGCCTCAAGAGGCCGCGGAGAGGACTTCAGACCGAGAAAAGGGGCGAGGGATTTTGGGCCAAATCCGGCAGGGAGCGCCCGAACAAGCATCAGAGCCCCATGGTGCGCTGGGAGCCGTTTTGGGACCGTCTGTGGCCGTCTTTGGCCGTCTTGGGCTTTTGGTGTGGTCTTCGGTGCTTCTCGGGCCGTGATCTTGGGACCTCTGGGTTTTTTTGTAGGAGCCTCTCAGCGCTTCTTTCGGCCTCCTGGAAGCCTCCTGGGGCCCTCTGGGGCTGTCTCGGGTGCCCCTTGGGCTGTGTGGAGGCGATCCGGGGCCGTCTGGGGGTTGTCTAAGGCCCGCAGTCTGGGCACCGTCTGGGGGTCGTCTAGGGCCGTCCTGGGCCGCTCTTGAGGCTGTCTTGGGTACCCCGTGGGCCGCCAGGGGCGCCACAGGAGCCTTCCTGGGGCCATCTTGGAGCCTTGTATGGCCGCCTTGGACGCCATGAAGAGGGCAAGCCCGAGAACTGCGACACTGCAACATTTCTCGCGGAACTGCAACGATTTTTCGGTGTTCGGGCTCTCTTGGGGCTCATCGTGGATCTCACTTGGGGCGTTTTGGAAGCCTCATGGGCCGTCTGGAGGCCGTGTGAGGCGTTGTCTAAGGGCCGTCTGGGGGTTGCCTGGGGCCGCCTTGGGCGTCTCTGGAGCAGTCTGGGCACCGTCTGGGGGTCGTCCTGGGCCGCTCTTGAGGCTGTCTTGGGTACCCCGTGGGCCGCCATGCTTGGGGCTCGTCGTGGAGCCAACTTGGGGCTTTTTGGAAGCCTCTTGGGCCGTCTGGAGGCCGTGTGAGGCGTTATCGGGGCCGTCTGAGGGTTGCCTGGGGCCGCCTTCGGCGTCTCTGGAGCAGTCTGGGCACCGTCTGGGGGTTATCTTGGGCCGTCCTGGGCCGCTCTTGAGGCTGTCTTGGGTACCCCGTGGGCCGCCAGGGGCGCCTCATGAGCCGTCCTGGGGCCATCTTGAGACCTTGTATGGCCGTCTTGGACGCTATGAAACGGGCAAGCCCGGGAACTGCCAAAATACACGCTTCCCCGACGAAATGGGACGATTTTTCGGTGTTCGGGCTCTCTTGGGGCTCGTCGTGGAGCCCACTTGGAGCGTTTGGGAAGCCTCTTGGGCCGTCTTCGGCCGTCTGGGGGCCCTCTTGGGGGCCTCACCATGCGTTTCGGATCACTCTTGGGCCATCTTGGAAGCGCGCCGAAGCCTGATGGGGCTCGCAGCGGCCGCCGGAGAGGGCCCGTCTGCTGCCACCGATCGGCAGCTCCGCGAGCGCCAGTCTGGCCATTGTAGGAGAGACGTGGGTCGACCGTGCACCTGCGTCCACGATAGCGCACTCGTATGCAAGGCAACAAGTTGCCTGCCTGCCACCACTTGCGTGGCCGAAAACACTCTGGCATGAAAGCTTCCTGCTTACATGCTGGCCCGCCTGTATTATTGCTTACTGATTGCACTGCGTCGTTGCCTCAGGTTTAGCGGTGCCTGTTGCAAATTGCTGCGGCATGTGCGCTGATGTTTGCAGCTGCTGGATGCAGTCGCTGTCAATGCGTCCCACCCGCGCTTGCTTCTGCTAGCTGCTCATTGCTGTTGCTGCTGCTGCTGCTGCTGCTGCGGCTGCTGCTGGGAATGCTGACTCTGGATGCGGGGGCCGTGCTGGTGCTCTCTTAGGCCGTGCTGGGGGTATGTTTGAGACCTCTGGGTTCGTCTTCGGGACCATCGGGGCTTTTTGGTTGCCCTCTTGGGCCCTCCAGGGCTGTTTCCGGCTTTTCTGGGGCTTTCCTGGCCAGTCTCTTGGACCCGTAGGGCTCTGCCGGCGCTCTTGGCGATCTTGGAGGCTTCTTGGGGCCTCTGGGGTCGCGTGATGCCTTCTTGCAACATAATGACTCCACAAAGTCCCGAGGCAAAGATGCAGAAGAACCATGGAACATGTCTGTGAGTTCTGCCAGGGCCCGACGGCGAGACGCCGTAACGTCTGAGAAGTAGATATGGTCGTTAACAAGATACTAGCCCATCATTTCTGCCTCACCTTTGCGCGATGTGTGCCGTTTTCGTTTCGCTGTGGCGGGCCAGCCTGACACCGCGACGCCATGACGTGAGCTGTTTGCGAGTGTGATTGTTTTGCGCTTGTGTGCACCTTTCCCGCAAGCAAGGGCCAGGGCAAAGCATCGTAGAGATCACGACAGTCGGCTCCAGCTTCGCCCCACATACCGCGCTGAGCAACGACAGAGCACGCTGCCACATCCTGCTTCTCTCACAAGCGCTGATCCCGGCGTTGTAGCTGACTAGGGCTGACCCGTGGACTCCGTCCACGACATCTTTCTGGAGTGGTTCTCGTAGGAACGGCGGAGGTTTTGCCGAAAACTTCTAAGCACGGCGGCGACTGGCGCGGCGGCAGCGAGACCGTGCCTTCGTGTCCGAACTCTTGCAGCGCTCCAGCAGATTGGCCCCGGCGCACGACTCGTTCGCGCCCTTCTATAGGGAGCAGTCTCAAAGTCTCTCGGGGATGCGCGTCAAAATCGAAGCCCATCGGAGGCGTTTCAGGAGCGCCCAGGAAAGGGCTCGGGAGGCCATCGGGGGAAGCCACTGGGAGCGCCGCGGAGGCTTGCAAGGATCTCCAGGAAGGGCCCGAGAGAGAGTCAAGAGGGTGTGAAATTTGATAAGGTCTTGACAGAAGCCGCTGTTGGGTCGGACGTGCTCCACTACGCTGGGGAGGCTTTTTTGTTTGAGTTCAGTTGAAGGCGAAGCTCTCTCGGGCGTGTCAGCAGCGCCAGGCCCCCTCTCTTGGAGGCAGTTTTGAAGCCTCTTTGGGCCTCTTGGGGGGTGGAGGGTCTCTCAGATCCTCTTGCGGGCCTCTTCGGGACCTGTTGGGACCCTCTTGGACCGTCTGCCACTTGGGCCGTCTTGGGGCCACGTTCAGAGCGCCGCACGTCATCTGGACCCTTGTGAGGCTCTCTTCTGGGCCTTCTCGGGTTTCCTCCTCCTCCTACTCCTCCTTCTCCTGCTCATCCGCCTCCGCCTCCTCCTCCTCCTTTTCCTCCTCCGCATTCTTGCTTCGATCCTGCATGCCCTGGATCTTAGATCGTCAATCGTAGACTCTCGGAGCATCGAAAATGGCTGTTGGGGCCTGCGTTCTGCCTCTCACCTCTCGTCCGCCCCCCGCCTGTCGGAGGGAATTATGTAGCCACTTAGAGCCTCTTGGAGCTTCTTTTCGGCTTCGAGGGGGCCTCTTGGTGTCCTCTTGGGCGCTCGTCGGTGCCGTTTGGGCCGTCTCGGAACCGCCTTGGGCCGTCTTGGGCGCCTCTTGGACCGTCTGGGGGACGTCTTGGACCGTCTTGGGCGGCTCTTGGGGTTGTCTTGGATGCCTTCTGGGCCGTCTTGGGGCCGTCGTAGGCCGTTTTGGGTGCTTGGGCCGTGTTCGGACCGTCTCGGGCCGTCTGTGGCTGTCTTTTGGGCTGTCTTGAGTGCCTCTTGGGCCATCTTGGGCGCCTCTTGGGCCGTTTTCGGGCGGCTGGGGCCCTCTTCAGCCGGTTTGGCTGTCCTTGCAAGTCTTTGGGCTGCTCCAGGAGCCCTTCTGGGATCCTCTTCGGCCGTCGTGGGCGCCTCTTCGGCCTTCCTAGGGCCGTCTTGGGGGCCTCTTGGGGGCTTCCGGAGACGTCTTTGGGGAATCTTGGGGAGCTGTGGGTCCGTGTTGGACGCTGCGAAGAGGATAAGGGCGAGTATGTATGCCAAACATAAACGTTTCCCCAGAAGATTGGGACGATGTGTGCCTCTTGGGGCCCTCTGCGGGTTCCTCTCGGGGCCCTCTTGGGGCGCCTTGGGGTCCCTTGGGCCGCCATGCGGCCCCCCGGAGCGTCAGGAAGCCGTCTTGGGGCCTTCTGGGGGCCAGCGTGAGCCGTCTCGGGGCGTCTTGGGGCGTCTCAGAGGCCGCCCAGCGGCGTGCCGGGGCCAGCCAGCACGACTTTGTCCTCATTGATCCCCCGCCAGTGCTCCCGCCGTTGTCGTATAGACTAGGGATTGCCCGTAGACTGCGTCTACGCAAGCTGCACGAACTGGAACGTCATTGTGGACATGCTGCCGCAAGGCTGAAACGGTACCGTGGGGTTCGCCCCTCGCGTTCCGCGAATGGTAATGCGGGCTGCCGCATGCTGCCGCTGTTGCGTGCTGTTGGCAATGCTTGCCGCTGCTGCGTGCTGTTGGAGCTTGTGGCGGCACGGTGCTGCTGATGGCCACTTCTGCTTCGTGCGTACTGCTGCCGTTCGCTGATGCGGCTGCTTGATGCTGCAAGGTGCCGTTTCTTGCTACTTCAAAATTCAGGCGAAACCTGCAGCCAGGAAAAGATCGGGGAGCCAGGATCGAAAAAAACAGGAATGGGGAGAAACCATGAACGATTAGCGAAGAGCAAGAAGCAGGAAGGAAGGAGCGACGGCCGAGGAGATCAGGGCAAGGAGGGAGGAAGGAGAGCCGACGAGGAGGAGGCGAGAGGAGCGAGGAACCTCTTGGGGTTCTAGTGGGGCCTCGTGAGGAGAAGCATCTTGGGATGTCTCCTGGGGACCTCTCGGGGGTCCCCCGAGCCCTGGAGCCGTCTGGGCACCCCCCAGGGTCAGTGAGAGCTGTTTTGGAGGGGTCCGACGTTCGGGGCGATCTTGGTGAGCCCTGACCGCATTAGGCTCGGCTTGGGACCATATTGGCGGCCTCGTGGGTCCTCTTGAAGGCCTGTTGGGCAACCTTGAAATCCGCTATTTAGTTGGTACTCGCGAAGCACCAGCAGATCAAACAGTGTGCCTGAGGTGAAACGCCGTCAACTGCTTGCACCGTTGACGGCGGACAAATCCAGCCCGCCTAATGGACTGAGGAACACAAGCACTTCTCACGAACTCGGTGTCCGGGGCTCCTTTCTGCCACTCTCCCAACAAAGTGTTGCCCAGGTGCAGGAGGAGGAGGAGGAGGAGGAGGAGGAGGAGAAGGAGGAGGAGGAGGCAGATCAGATGGCGAATGATACGAATATGCCTTTCACGCGTATTCCCCCCTGGTCTATGAATGCGCGGTGCGGCAACCCTAAGCATGTCGTGCCGTCTTGGAGCCTGTTGCGCCGTCTTGGGCCGATCTCGGGGGAGTCTTGGGCCGTCCTAGGCGTCCTGAGGCCCGAAGGAGCGAGCATGCAGGAATCACCCGAAAAACGATGGGAAACCCAAGGTGTTTTGCGGGAGGCCCTCTCATGGGTCCCCTTGGAAGCGTCTGGCGGCGCGTTTTAGGGCCTCTCGGGCCATCTCGGCCCCCCCTTCAAGGGGAGGAGGAGGAGGAGGAGGAGGAGGAGGAGGAGGAGGAGGAGGAGGAGCAGGAGGAGGAGGAGGAGGAGGAGGAGGAGGAGGAGCAGGAGGAGGAGGAGGAAGAGGAGGAGGAGGAGGAGGAGGAGGAGGAGGAGGAGGAGGAGGAGGAGGAGGAGGAGCAGGAGGAGCAGGAGGAGCAGGAGGAGGAGCAGGAGGAGGAGGAGCATGCTGCGACTCGGCCAGGAACGCCCCAAGGCCCTTGGGGCGTTCCGGGGCCGCGAGGTGGACCACTCCGGGGCCGCGCGTGGAGCTCCACTGCGGCGGTCTCCCGCCTCTCTCCCGGCACACCCTGCAGCTCCCCCGGCAGCCTCCCGGGCCGTCTCGGCGCGCCCCCCTGCCTCAGCATAGACGTCGCTCATGTCTGATCGTGCTCAGTTCTGACTGTGCTCGTTTCCAACTGTTCCTGGCCCCCCAGTGGCCAGGAGAAGGCCCAGGATAGAACAGTTAGAAATGAAAGGATCTTGGCCCCCTTAAAATCAAAGAACTTCCGAATAATTAGAATTTTGCATAGTGTAGAAAGATGTTTACTCTCTGGGGTCTCTCGTGGAGCCGTCTCGTGGGGGGAAGGAGAGGCGACGCCGCTTCGTGGGGGGAAAGAGAAGCGACACCAACACCAACAGGGGGCCAACTCCAGCGAAGAGGTCCACGATGCCTCACCGAGCTGGGGATATGGGATGTCTCGAGCGAGAGGGGGGACCTCACCACCAAGGGGACCCCTCCCTGGTTCCTCCCGCTGGTGCTCCCAGGTGGTGTTGGTGTCGGTTCTCCATGTTCATATTTCGAGCCTCTCGTGGGGCCACTCGGGCGCCTAGTGAATCTCCGAAGGGTAACATGTCCGTTTCAGATGCCCACAGGGCCGCCTTCGGGATCTCCCAGGGCCCGCCTGGGGCCGGCTCGGAGGTGCCCGGCGGGCCTCTGAGCGCCGCGATCGGAGGCGCGATGACCCGAGAGGGACGCCGGGGCGGCGGCGTGGGGGCGGGCACGACCAGGAAGTTGCAACCTCGCACGCACGGCTCCATGCAGCGTAGACCAGATAATGTTGGGCTCCAGCTCCGCCTCGCATATCTCGCTCAGCAGCGACAGAGCGTGCTGCCATTGCTTGCCTCTCCCACACGCGTCGATCGCAGCGCTATACCCATTGGTGAGGTCGGTCTCTACGCTTGCTTCAAGCATCCCGCTGAGACACCATAGCGCCTGCTGCCACTGGCAGGCTTTGCCGCATTTGCTGATGGTGGTAATGTTCGGGGGCTGCTAACGGTGCCCCTGGCCCAAGGTGCCCCCAGCTTTTCGCTCAATTTTGGACCACCTGGGGTCCTCTAGGCCTCGCGAGGGGTGCTCTGGAGGCTGTCGGGGAGTCCTTGGAAATCCTGTGAAACCTCGGGCCAGGGGCACTTCTGGCAGTACCCGATACGTAGTGGCCTGGGCCCAGTGAGCGCCTCATGGACGCCTTATACGCACCAGCCTGGGCCCACGGCCTGGGCCTGGGGCCTGGGCCGGTGGCCGTCATTTGCTGTGGCGCCGCATTGGAGGAAGAAACCGCTCATCGACCTTGGCGACGAACGCCTGGCGTTTTGAAATATTTCGGGCAGAGTCGGCTCGATGCCACAAAGACTACGGAGGAGGGGGGTGAAGGAGCAAAAAGGCGGCGGAGGAGAGGGGTGAAGGGAGAGGGGTGAGGGGGAGGGAGGATGCCGATGTTGAGGATGAGTCTAGACTGAATATGACGATTTGGGTGAGCAACGATGATGCTGATGGTGGTGGTGATTGTGCCGAGGATGATGATGCTGATGATGATGCTGCTGATGATGATGATGATGATGACGGTGACGATTCCGATGACGATGATGATGCTTATGTTGATGTTGTTGATGATGCTGCTGCTGATGATGATAAGGATGCTGATGCTGATGCGGATGCTGATGATGATGATGCTGATGCTGATGCTGATGTTAATGATGATGATGATGATGATGATGATGATGATGATGATGATGATCCCGCTCTCCCAAGGGGGCCGCTGCCGACGTGCACACTCCCCCTGCTGCTGCTACATTATCCCCAGCTCCCCGCACGCTCCCTCGAGCGCGACCTCTCTCGCGGCGGGAGGGGGGACGGGGCGCCGAGGTCGGCCTCTACCCCCCCTTTGGTGGGGTGGAGGCCTCGCTTCATTCTGCGGAGCCCTTCGGCCTGTGGGACGGGTGGAACCTCGCGTTCCACCAAGGGGGCCACGTTTCCCCGAGACCAGGACCAGGCCCAGGAGGGCCCCGCGACCCACCCGACCTCGCCCCCTGTGGCCCCCCTGGTGGAGGAGCCCCTTCGCTGGAAGGGTTCTCGATCGAACTAACTTGCGCTGGAGACTGCTGCTCCTGCTGCTACTCCTGCTGCTGCTCCTCGCCCCCTCCTCCGATGGCCCCCCCCCCGCTTGCTGCGGCGGCTCCTGCTATGATGCCGAGGAGCGCTGCCGCGCCTGCGCCTGAGCCCTCGGTTCCCGAGGCGGGCGGGGGCGGTGACGGCGGGGGCGGGTGGGAAAAAGCGGGGGGAGGACGGCCACTCGCCGCGCATCCGAGGCAGCACCAGATGCGTCCTGCCCCGACGAGGGCCGACGAGCCGTGCCTCTCGCATGCGCGGGCCGAGCAGCGGCCGCATGGTGCGATCGAGCGCAGGCGGCAGCCAGGAGCAGCACATCTAATTATCTGGAGGCCTGGCGCAGCGTAGCCGTCGCTCGCCGTGAGCCAGCTGCCGCCCTCCTGCGGCGCCTGGCCGAGCATCCTACCCAGGCTCTCACCCCATTCGCCGGCCATGCTCGCAACCTCGACCAGCGCGGGGAAGGTGGGGTGGATGCTGGCGCCCTGCTTGGCCCTCAAGTCGGCGAGCTCGTTGCCCCGCCGCTTCCACTCCGTGGAGGACCCGACCAGGACGTCATGCATCGTGGCGTGCCCCTTCACCTTTGTGGTCTGAATGGCGTCCCTGCCTATGTCGTGGACCCGTTTCCTGAAGGCGGTCCACAGGCCTCTGCACGGTCTTGACCAGCATAGGCACCAATCCTCGCCTGCCTCCCAGCCGTCTCCGAGCAGCTGCGAGTCGCTGGAGAGGTGCACGGGCGGGAGACAATGGGCCAAGGCCTCCACTGCCGCCAGCAACTCCTCCGAGCCCGACTCCTGGGCGAGCGGCCATTGTATTGGCCCCGGGATCGACGAGGTCACGGCGCCCGTGTGGTCCGTCGAGCAAGCTGCCCATCCCGCTCGCGCCAGAACTCGGTCCTGGGCGCGGGCCGCCGCACCGCCCAGGAAGACCTCTCCATGGAGCGGCTCGCCCGCCCACGGCCCCGCTGTGCGCACAATGCGCGCCGTGAGCGGCAGGGGGAGGTCACTGCGCGGGTCCTTGACCAGGCACCGCGACCAGATGGCGTGCCCCGCGTCCGAGTCCAGCGGGCCGCCTGTGTCGTAGAAGTAGCTGATGTTGAGGTCGTCTGCCTCCCATTGCCTGGCCGAGGACCACCGCGAAGCAAGGGCGTGGTCAGCGAGCTGCTTCGCCAGCCGCCTCCTCAGGCCGTTGATGGCCGCGCCGCCCTTCAGGTGGCCCCGCAGCGGGCCGTGGCTCGCCGCGTCCCTCCAGAGCTTCCTGATGAAGGCAGCCTGTACTTCGCGTTGGAACGCGTGCCTGTCGGTCTCGCGCAGGTCTAGGATCCTCCCAAGGTCGTCCGTCCAGCGCCTGATGTGGTCATCTCTCCAGCCGAGGCGCGCCGCGGCAAGGGCCGCTGCGGAGGCTGGGCCCCTTCCCGCCAAGCCCTCTGGTCCGCTGGCGGTGAGGCGCTCGCGCGCCGCCGCAATCGCCGAGCCGAGGGCGCGCCTGTCCTGCTCCTTTACCTGCTGCAGCGCCCTCGCCCACGCCTCCATGGGCTTGGCGATGTGGTCGAAGAGCGGGTCGTCCCACGGCTTCGCGGCCAGCAGGTAGCTGAGGCAGATGCTCCTGTCAGGCCCCTTGCCGAAGGCGATGGCTGCGAGCTTGGACCTCCATCTCGCCAGCGCCGATGACGACCAGGCTAAACAAGATATATCGTATGATGTAGCGGGCTTAAATCCCAGCATTGACGAGCTTGACTGCCGCTTCCTTCCTTACCCGTCGTATCTGGTGGGCACGGCCGAGCTGGGCCGCGGCGGCTTGGCGTCGGCCAGCAGCCACCTCCCCAGCTCTGGCGCCCATGGCGTAGCACACTCCCAAGTTCCTGGTCTCCTTGGCATGCGCGAAGGAGCCCTCGTCCATGTGGTACTCGCTGAGGCGGTGCAACCTCTCGGTGGTCCCCAGGATCTCGCTCTTGTCCCTGGAGACCACCGCGCCTATGCCCCGCTCCAGGCCCCTGATGACGGCGCACGCCGCCTTGCCTAGCATGATGCCCACCTGCGCTTCCGAGTCAGTGTGGCGCAGGGAGCAATCGTCGAACATGATGGCCACGATGAAGTAGTCGAGCACGGACGGCGGCGCGTCGGCCGCGACGTGGCAGGTGCCGAGGCCCTCTTCGTTGCACACGACCTGGCCCCTCACCGCCTCCGACCCGAAACGCGCCGCGTCCGAGGAGAGGGCGGGCTCCACGTTCACGTGTCCCCCGATCACGAAGGACCTGCCCGAGGCTCTCAGCGCGTGCCCCAGCGTGCGCAGCACCTCCCATGACGCAGGCCCCTGGCGGTCGATGCCGAGGTAGACGCTGGCCGCCAGCACTCCTCCTCGCCTGGGCCCCTCGATGTGGAGGCAGGTGCGCCGCCCAGGGTGGACGTGCTTAGATCTGGTCCCAGCGGCGGCGCCTCGCAAGGGCTGAGCGGCGCCTCGCGCCGCCCAGACCACACCTCCTGTGCCGCCCGAGGCGGCCCTCCTCTGCTGCGTGCCCAGGCTGCCTGGGTGGCTGGTGCCAGGCGTGAGGGCATCCCGCGGGCCCTGCCTGCGCAGCCACTGCTCCTCGCGGGTTGCCTCCTCCTCGTGTAGGTGGGTCTCCTGGGCCAACCAGCATTGACCCGCATGGGCCTCCCTGGCCAGCTCCTGAGCCCTCTCCTGAGGCCTGCCCCATACGGTCGCGAGGGGTCCCCAGCCTGAGCCGTTGGCGGAGTCGAACGTGAACGGCTGCAAGGCGCTTCGACCGCCACGGCGCCCGCCGCTGCTGGGGAGACGCTGTGGGCGCGCTCTCCTTGGCGTCGCCTCCTGGCTTGCGACCGCGCACCTCCCTCGCGGCCTTCCTGAGCTCTGCGAGCCGCTCTGCCGACAGCTGGGGCTGTCTGGGGGCTGGGGCGGCCTCAGGCTGGCTGGGCGTCCCAGGGGCCGCGTCGCTGGTATGTCCTGCTGCGTCGCCCCCAGCGCCTCGCTGTTCGTCGCCAGAGGGGTCAGGTTCACCAGCAGGCCGAGCAGCTTCAGAGTCCATCCGCCGCTTCTTGGTCTTGGCGCGGAACTCCTCCTGCATCTTCTTGAGGCCCTCTCTCCGCTTCTCGAGCTCCTCAGCCGCGGGCTTGAACATCGCCTCCACCTGCTTTGTGAAGTCCTGCTTGAACTGCTCCAGCGTTTTCTCCCAGTCGGCCTGCTCCTGCTCCGTGAGCGAGATGCCGTCGAGGTCGAAGGCGACCCCGAGCTCGAAGTTGAGGCCCTCCCTCCCCTCGAGGACGGAGGACAGGTTGACCGAGACCGATGCTGGAGTGGCCTGCTCGCCTTTGAGGCAGCCCTTGGCGTGTGCGATGGCCCTCGCCTGCTCCTCGAGGGCGAGCGCGCACTCCGCCGCAAGCTCGTCCTCCTTGGTGGCGAGCCAGGCGCGGGCCCCCTCGGTGGCGTCGAGGGCCTCGTTGAGCGCCTTGGTCGCACGACGCGCCGCTCCCCATGCCCGCTGGACGGCCTCGTCGGGCAGCTCGGGCTTGGGCGCCGTGGCCGTGGGCTGCTGGAGCGCCGCCTCGAGGCCCGCCAAGGCCTGGGACGCCTCCAAGGGGAGCTCCTCCATGCGGCGCTTGATGGTCTCGAGCAGCGTCTCCTCCCGCACCTGCCGCGTGTCGGGCCGCAGCCTGGCCTCCTGCCACGGTGGCCGAGAGGCAGGCCGAGCACGGCCAGCGGCTGCGTCGGCGCTCGCTGCCCGGTCGGACCAAGCACCATCAGGCGACCTGGCGGGCGAGGACGCGGGCGAGAGGCAGTGGCCGCAGTTGAAGCAGGCCGAACGTGTGCGCCACGTCCACGTGCACTGGCACTTGGAGCACTTCTGGAACCCATGCTGCAAACGACGTCCGCTGCCACCCATGGCCCAGACTCCGAGCGAAGGGCAGGATCCTGGCGCCGCTGGGCGCCTGAAGTGACTGACGCTGAAGAAAGCGCGGGGGCTTTGAGCCGCCCCCTCGGCTGCATCCAAGCTCCAAGCGCCAGGGACGCGTTTGGAACTTGAGCCAAAATGGCTACGGATGATGATGATGATGATGATGATGATGATGATGATCGCACTCCCCTGAGCGCGCCAGAGAGGGGGGCAGTTCAGCTGCCCTATGCCGC